CACTGGGACTACGCACGCCCAAGGTAGAGTTGTAGGCGGAAGTCAAGTCATTGCTTGGTCTGCCCATGTTTTTGCCCGTGATCCCGGCGTGTTTACTGTTGGTGGGGCTGGCTTGTTTTGCGGCGGCCTCAAGAATCTTGATGTTTTCAGGGCCCTTCGTCTTAGTCTTAGTCTTAACAGTTATTAACAGAAATGCGAAGCTGTCATTGACTTGCAAATCAATGAGTGTAGTCTTGGGCGGGCCTGGCCTGTTTACGGCGGGCCTTGCGCTGAAGCCTGCGCGCCTCTGCCCAGCCGGCGCGGTAGACCCTCCATGTTTACTAGGGGTCAACCTGGCTTGTTTGCGGTGGCCCTGGCTTGATTTTATTGGCTCATCATGTCCGGAAAGGCATTGAAGGTCTCCGCCCTTCCCATGTGCACGCGGTTCCCCAACAGGTAAAGACATTAGTTGAAGCACTTCCTCGATTCACCGGAGCTCCGCACGTCCGAGGAAAATTCCTGACCTCCAAGAAGTTCTGGTGATCTGCAAGACCTACAAGACCCATGTGCTTGCGCAGAGCATTCTTCAGATGCGTGAGCGAGGCCAAAGTGACGCTTAAAAAAAAAGAGCTTGAAAGACCCACTAGCCCAAAGCGAATATTCGCTTGGAACACTTAGCCAACCAGGCTACCCGATCGATAGACTGATAATAACCCAGCATCGCCGCCATGGTGAAAAGCTGGGGCGTTGGATGGAAGCTTCTGCGCGAGAATTGGTGCAGCAACGTTGAAGTGGAGAGGACTACGTCATCAAGAATGCCATCCACGGCTCTGACCGCTACTGAGCGGGTGTAGGGGGATGGATGTAAGTTTGCTCCGGTGCTCCATTTTAAAAAGCTATGCTTTCGGCACTCGGCGGGAAAGCATACATAGGTAAATTGCGTGGTTAGAAGAGATTGGGTCATACTGAGAAGCCCTCACTTCCTTTTGCGTGGAATGTCATGAGCGTGCCACGGCAAAGAAGCTGTTGAGGGCGTGACGCGCGCATGCGTTGATACACAGATATATACATATATTACGCTCATATTCATATATGTAGCAAACGTCAACAAGTACAATGTTGCCGAGCTGAGAGGGGTTCGCCTAAAAAGGCGTTGCTATATATGTTGAATTACTGCTACGCTGCTCAAGCAAAAGTGGACACCACGGCAAGCAAAGGTATGAAACACGGCAGCGCAGTCCGTAATTAGTTCTCAGACTGCAGATCACTTACAGGCGCTGTGCAAGCAAGGGCATCCAACTGCATCACCATGCCGCAACTCGAATGGGCCTTGCTCCGGAGCTCTTGGCCAACCTGCTTGGCAAGCCAGGTCGCCTTCCTCGAGGAGATTGATGCCGAGGATTGGCTGCTCTTGGCGAACTCTTCGCAGCAAGAGGAGCTATCCCGCCGCCTTCTTGGTTGGGAGTCATTTGGCATTTACAAAGTGACAACAAAGTGGGGAGACAGGGTCGTGAAAGTTTACTCCCAGAGTGGAGGCTGCTGCAATTCAACTTTGGTCGCCATAGTGCGACGAGTACCTGCCGCAACTTTTCTTGTGAAAGGAACCTTTACAATGACCAAGAAAAGCATCAAGGTGATCTACCACCACGCTGCATCTGGAGAGGAGTTTGGGCGAACCTACATACCACAACACCGCCGCCATGTCACACTAAACATGGTGGCTGGATTTGCAGCTAAGCAAGCTATGCGTCTCAAACTCTTGGAAAGCCACAATCAAGGGATGGCCTTCCTTGTTGGAAGCTCCGCCACGCTGCTGCGCCGTGAGACCGTTCTCTGGGCAAGAGCGATGGCCAGGCCTCAGCCTGAGGGGCGGTGTACAAAGAAGACCAACGTGAAAGCGGCGCAGTTTGGCCGCCACGTCAGGTTGCTGGAAGAAGGCAACGTCGACTAGGCAAGTTGAACAATTGAGCGCAGTGTAAATAGCCGACAGGGGCAGGGGATTGCGCTTTGTCCACCAGTGTGCGTGTTAAGTGGGCGTTAGTTTACATCGCCAACCTTTGCCCATTCGCGCGGGCTCACCGTTGCTAGCCTTTTCCAGCGCTCCCGTTCTGTCACTCGTCGCTCCACTTTGTTCGTGCTTTGTGGCAGGCCCGTTATTTGCTCAGACAAAAGAACGCCACAAAATCCGAAGAAGATATGCATTCTGAAGAGGGTCCTTTCACCGCGCACTGTCCGGTTCTGCCCGCAGGCCATGTCGTTACGCGAAATCTTGGCGATGTACAAGGCGCGCTCTATCTCCAGAATCAGACATTTCTGAAATCTGACATTGAGAAAATGCTCAGCAACATGTTTCAAAGATCGAGATGCGGGGGGGGTTGGGAAAGTGCTTGCTGACCTCGGTCCCAGGTCCCTGACCCAATGCCTTCGCGTCAAGGCTGCGTGACACCAGAATGTCCGTCCGCAGCTTAGCAGCCGGCGAAATAACTCCTGCTGCCACAAGAAGCCAGCATTGCCTGCACAGGTACCTGGCTCACGTCAACGTCGAGAAATTCAAAGGCTTTTGCTGCACCTGATGCTTTGAAAGAAATGTTGGGGGCGCAGCGCAGACACGGATCCATTGCTTGTTATATTCAAACTCAATCTTATTCTTGACCTGCACGCGCCTGAGGCTCGCGGCAATGGAAAGAAGTGGCATGGCAAGCTGTGCTGCTATGAGTTGGCCCCGCCCGGTCTGTCCGTCAAAGCTTCATATTGCGGAGATCCACCGTGGATCTTCTCTAGGTGCCGTTCTCGAGCCGACTGGGCCACAGAGCAAGGCCAATAAAGTTTCACCGCCGGTGGCCCACCAACAAGGCCAAGCTTACAGCTCTTTGGGCGTCAACTAAAAGGCCCGCGCTAGAAACTCCTCGCTCACATTCCACAGCGCGTGTAATCTGGCCTCAAGATTTCAACCTATATACCTATCGGATGCTCGTGCAGCCATTACACTTGTAGCGCGAGCATTTAAAACATAGACTCAAACCCTTCCGCGCTGCTTTGGACGCCCAAGCCTGAGAGCAGAGAAAACGCTTAAGTTTAATTCTGCGTGGTTTTGCTCGCGCGCCTTATGGTAAATGTAAGATATGCCTTGCACTTGCGATGCGATCAAGCAAGGTGTGGAAAGTTGGCCATGGCCGGTCTCTCATGTATCACAAAGCCAAAGTATAAATGATGACGTTTTCCATTGAGAGTGCAATGTGCTCGCATGCGCGCTGGTCTTGCCAGGCGCTCCATGAGCAACCAACTGTTGCTGCAGCCCTAAACGACAAATGAACACTGTTCTATGAAAAACGGCTTGCGCCTACAAGTCGCACTAGGTTATTGCCAACGGCTATGCCAACATCTTGGACTTCCCGGAGGTTCTAGCGCAGCCTGGTTTTCTCGTCTTTTGGTCAGATACTCACGACGCTGTCTGTGCACCGGGCACACTGGCAACAAACATGGTAATGTCAACTGTCCAGCTAAAACCTGCTTCTTCAGGATGAAGGGTCTGACGCTCACCGGCTGGCATTGCGAGACCAAGACCACAAGTGGAGCCAATGCTTCGTTGAACACGTTCGAAATACGCTTAGGCCTCAATGTTCTACAGCCCCTCTCACCTTCGACGTAAAAGCAATATATATTAATTTCTAATACCGACCCAGGTCTGACGCGGCAATGGTTCCGAGGCCTTGTAGCCCATTCCTTTCAGATAGGATTCAGTATGTCTAGGCTTGACACTAAGTGTCAACCTGCGTGTCACAGCAGAAAAGATGAGTATAGAGAGAGACACACATCTTCTTTTGAAGTACTCGTTAATCTACTCATGTTTGCTGTAACATCTCCAGATGGTGGCGGCATGACAGTGTCGTTTTCGAGTGGTTGAAACTAGGCTCCTGCCGGGGAGCGAAGAGTTTGATGTTTTTCATGCAAAAGTATCCTTTGCCGGGAGGATCAAATGAGAGGGTTGTCATCGGAAGCAGATAGGATTCAGTATGTCTAGGCCTGACACTCAGTGTCAACATGAGCACCTTCGGTTCACCGCAGACAAGATGAGTACAGAGAAACAAGATGAACAGCACAGGTCGAAGAACCCTATAGAGTATCCTGTAGGTCCCTAAAAGGGTCCTATATGGTCACTTAAATAACCTTTGGTCTTGGCTGGTAAAACGTAAGTCTCCAAGACCACCAAGGACTGATGGGGGCCTGCCAATCCAAATGACTAGATGTTTCCACCCCTTCAGTTGGACCATTTAAGAATTCTTAGAACTTGCACAGGTGCCAGTGATGCAGACCTATAAGACTGTAGGTTGGAAGCCCATCAAATCCATGAAAAATTGCCAGACCTCAAAGTGTTGGTTGATTTTTTCTGTTTGTTTGGGGGTCGAAGTCTTGGAGGATTTCCTATATGGGCGCGTGTTCGAATCGGGAGACTTTCCCAGTTCGATCCCTTGAAAGCTTCGGACAATAGGCCAGAACCCGTTGGTGGGCTCCCTTTTAAAATCCGCGCGTCCAGGAATCACAGTATTTAGTCTATCCTCCAATGGGCCAATGGGCACCCCTTTGCAACTCCTGGTTAGTGTTGTTTCTCGCGACTGGCAGGAGATCAGTCGACATGGCATCATGAACTTGGACGACTACCGTCGCGTTCGGAGACCCAGAAAAGATTCCCTGAAATAGTGAGATCAACATTCCGCACAATAGCAGGCAAAGATCCCCTAGCACATGATGGATTCTGAGTTATTATCAGTTCTTGTTGGATGTGAAATATGCAGTACACCATAATATATATAATAAGTAGATGGCAAGGATGAGCATGTTCCAAATACCAATGAGGTCGTGTGAAGTAAGAGGAGCACCAGTTTGGCCATACCCAGACACTCCATGTATGCCACATATGCCTCCATGACCAGCCAAACCACCCCAATGTAAGCATGTATTGCATACATGGAGTGATGATGGCCATATATAAAAACCAAAACCCCCTGCCTGGTTCCATGGCTAGTCATAGCCCACTACCAAGTCATTTTGACGTCTTTGTATCAACCCGCGGCACCACAAGCTGCGAGTGAAAGAGTCAGGTGATGCAGAAGCTCCAAGTGCCCTTGGACGAGGATCAGGTCGAACAGAAGGGGAATTGAACACATTGGATTTGATGTTCGAGTGTGTCCAATTATCAGTAGCGGTCAGTAAAAGAATCACCATCATCCATCCTCCATCCTCCATTCTCCTCCTCCTCCTCCTCATCATCATCATCATCATCCATCATCCATCATCCATTGCTACTGGTCATGGAATATATCCAATGTTACTGGCGATGTTGGGCGCAGCAGAAAAGAAGTCAGGGCCCATGTCAGATATTCAAAAGAAGCAGGGACTGACGAGTCGTATTTGGATAGTCGGATAGCGATGTTCTGACACATTTCATCCCTGAAAACCAAAGACTGTCAAAAGAATGGTCTGACTACCGGAATCTGAAATGGGAATGTCCTTTGCTTCACTGAAGTGACCATAAGGAAAAGTATCGTTTATAGGATTTCTAGGTTGAATTGCACTCTGCCAGGACTCAGCTGGGTCGATGTGGATTGGTTCGACCCCAGACCGGGCGTCCGATCCCATCGCAGTTTGGACCGAAACGTCCGCGTTTTCCCCACACGGGTCATGGTTGAGGACATGGGTGTGTGTGTGTGTGTGAAATCCGGGCGACTGATCTCTTTCCCATCCCTGGCCAAATAGACTGATCTCTTTCCCGAACCTTCTTCCCACGAACCTTCTTCCCATGCCGGTCTCCCAAGCCTTTTTTTTCTGGACCGCAGTTCGGACTGGCCATCAGTTTCTTTCTATACACACACACACACGTGCACACATGTTGGGTTGTCTTTTCTTCGGTTCGCTCGTGGTTCTCCGCCCCCCAGCGCCAGGTGGAGCGTGTCTTCACCTTCGCGGACCGCAACAAGGCGCGGAGCTTCACCTTCGACGACCAACGAATGGCCATCGGAGTGGACTCGGACTGCCCTCAGGTCAAGACCCAGACCCCCCTGAATTCATCCCTTTCAGGGAAATAGATGCCAGTCCCAAACAGCTGATGTGAGGTGGTGTTTGATCATCGGAAGCTGGACTTCAAAGGTCCAGCTGGACCAAAGACTGGACTTACGTCGCAGCCAATGCGCAGCCTCTTCGAGGCCTGAAACGGAGTTCGAAGGCTTCTGAGGCTTCTGTGGACCACCTCATGGTCAGAAACGGCTGTTTTCACCAGACCCTTTCGCTACCACCTCCAGTCCCAGAAACCTCCAAACAGAAGTCCCGACGCGGCGAACCACCTGCGGCCAAAACGCCACTCTCTCCAAGACACGATTGCGTCCACAACAGGGCGACACGGTCCGCGGTCGCCGCGGCTCCGCTCTGCCCTGTCTGCACCTTCGGAGGATGGGAGATTGACCTTTGAGGACTACGTGAAGTTAGTGGCCTTGGGCATGTGAGGCCAGGTCCACTGGACGACCTTGGCGCCTGTGGATTGGGGGGGGAGTTGGAGACGTGGAAGTGGAGTGGGCGGAAAAAAGGCATGGGAGTGATCCCATGAGGGTGGCGGGGGGAGTTTCATGGTGAAGTCTGAAAAGTTGGTGAAGTTGGAGAGAAGATGAGCCTGGCGTTGCTTAAGGTGATTGTGTGTTAATTAAATAGCAATATCAAACTGAGTAAACTCATGGGTAAATCCCCAATCCCCTCATGGGAAAGATGTTTTGTTTCCTCCAAGTTCCTGGACAGCAAATCCAGGTGAGGTTTAAAGTGCAAGAGAGTTGACAGATGTTCATTCTGTTGTTTTTGGACCTCTCTTTGGGTCTATGAGTGGGCTCCGTTCTTCGGCTTGTGAAACCTCACGGGTGGGCGCCGTTCTTTGGCTTGGGCATGAGCGCAGGATGGACGATACCATCGACTTTATACTAGTTCAACCATTTTGTACCAGGACCTTCCTGTCGGGATGTCCTGTCTGGTGGCCTATCAGAAGTGTAGGGTTGTCCAGCCAGGTAACCCCCGAACGGAAGCAGCTGGAACGATATATCCCAGACACTCCATGTATGCCATATATGCCTACATTGGGGTGGTTTTGGGGGTCAATGTAGGCATATATGGCATACATGGAGTGTCTGGGTATAGTGATCTAGTCCTCAGAGATGCGGCGTACGGCTGGGTGCTCGTGCCGAGCTCGCTCGTGGTCCCTCTCGACCGGCGCCAAGTCGGATCTTCAGTCCGACCAGGCGAGCCGTCGTTCTCCTGTGGATGGGCCGTTTGGACGAGGTGCTGACCAAGCGGGGCGCTGGTGGTGTGGTGGGCGCCAATGAAAAACGGTGAAGACGCAGAGATGGGACACAGAAAGGGTGGTTCTTGCAGGGAGAGAAAGGGTGGCACCCTAGGGTGCAATTGGTCGGTTGCCCTGATTTGCGGCCGTTTGCGCGGAAGACCGGATCAATCACCAAAACTACCAGAATTGTTGGGTCGTTGGAAGATCCGTGGTTATTTGCATGAGGTCCTTGACGGGGAAATGCTGTTCCTTGTGCTCCACATCCTACGACCGCTTGGCCACCGAGCCACCAGGTCCCACCTCCGCGCCGCGGCGGTCGCCAGCTGAGCCGCATCGACCAAAGCAGATCGATGCGGCGGCTGGCGAGGCATCGACCAATGCGGTGGGCCCTGAGTTGGTTCAGTGGATTTCACCATATTTCACCCACAAACCCATTGCACCAGTACTGTTTTTTGTAGCTCAGCGACAGTGTAGCAGCAGTAGCCCATCAAGTCGTGATGTTTTCATGTTTGGGGTCGTCTTCAGGGGTCATGTGCTACAACCTTCACAAACCCTGAAGAATGTTTCCCCCTGTTTGTGTGCACATCCCTCAGCGAGGAACTCCCAATTCAGGTAGGTTCACATCCTGCATAGAGGAATTGGTTCATTTTCCGGGCTCCATCACTTTTTGACCCACTGCCACGTGTGAGGAGTGAGTGGGCGTAGTTGCGGGAGTGAACCAAAGAGGTCACGTCTACCATCTTCTACCTTACCCTACCAAGTGGTTCACCTGCAAAGAACCCGTTGATGCCATGCCCATCCTCAACCTTTAAAATCCTTTGGCTCAGCCTTTCTTATGTTGGAAAGAAGCAGGAAAACGTACTAGTCAGTCAACACTGGGGTGCCACCTCCATAGACGTCAGCTGACTATATGGCTGTGGGTCATGGCACAGAGGGACCCTGATTTTTCCCACCGAAAATGAACGAAAAGACAACCTCAATTTATTTTGCCCAGACACGACACATGGGACTGCCATAGGACTGCCGCCCCAGACCCCCAGTCAACCACCCCAACTGATTGGCATATATGGCAGTCCCATGGAGTGTTTGGGTTCTGTCTTTAGCACTTATCTATCTGTGAGGCACATCTGTGCGACGTCGCGCCTCCGATGTCTCTACGGGAGTCGTGTCCGCGAGGTCAACAGAATAGACAAAACCTACCAGGAGGTCAAGCTATACCAGTGTGAAAGGGGCTGCCATGACCTGCCATGACCGCCATAGGAGGTCATGTTCCCAAGCTTACCCCCGTCTTCGCGCTCCTCCATGTTCAACCCGAACCTGTGACCAACTCAGCACCGGTTTTAGCACCCGTGACTGGTTCACTCTGAGAGAAACAGGCGAAAACAAGCGCGCGATCGAGGGGATGGGTGCTGCGAACGCGAGCTTCGTGAACGGTTTTGACGCGTCTCGGGCGGTCTTGGAACGGAAGATCTTGCAACACATGGGTCATATCTAAGATCTTCCAACTATGCCAAATTCCTTCCTCTTCATCCATAAAACCAGCCACAAGGCAGAAATTTTGCATGTCGTTGGAAGATCTAGGTATACCCTCCCTCCAACAAACATGGAAGAGGACAACTCCTTGTTTGTAGAGGAAAATGGTCTTTCCTGGTGTTTCTTCAAAAACTTCCATGGATTGTTGGAGGGATGGTCTCCCCAAAAATCAGGAGACCCTCCAGCCAATGACGCCAACAAAAAAGGCACAAAAAATGGTTCGAGCTAAAACTAGAGTCTGCCCACTTACACCTTTGGAACTTCAGCCCAAGTCCCAAGAATTTGCTAAACATGCCAGTGCTATCCAAGCTGGGGCTGTAGCTTGGGGGACCAGAAGTGGGGGAGGGTCGACCACTGCTATCAAGGCATCCAAGGCGGCGGCGGCCCCTACTAGGTTTTCCAGTCCCTCTGGGCTCCAGAGGTGGCGGGTATCCAAACAGCTGGAGCTGCGGCGCACGGATGGTGTCACGTGATTCTCCCATATTCTCCCTTTTGACTCGATGATCATACATCCAGGTGCAAACTACTACGACGGTGCATTGAGTATCATCAGAGGCCTTGAGCAGGCAATCAATTGAGCAGTCGTGCCATGAAGGTTCCTTTCGAAAAAGCCTTCGGGTCTTCCTGCCAAGTCCCCAAACAGGGCCACCGGTCTTTCGGGGGTTTTGCCCCTTCAGAGCCGGGCGTGTCCTCCAGACCGCATCAGACGCTCAGCGTGTCCTCCATCCGCTGTATTCAGACCAGGCGTCTCACCCCCCAAACTGCCCGGTGCAGCGACTCCCTGGTGGATCGGTCGAGTCGTCCGTTCGGTTCGGTGCTCAGATCGAAACCGGTCAGCTGAGCGGGTGTTTGGGACAGAGGTAGCGACAGAGGTAGCGACCGTGAGAGGCCGGAACACCATGGAACACCTATCCCATAACCCATACACTCCATGTATGGAATATATGCCTACATTGACCCCCCAAACCACTCCAATGTAGGCATATATGGCATCGTCTGGGATATTACTCCATGGGACTGTCATAGATATGTGCCTACATTGATCCCCCAAACCACCGGAACTGATCGGCATACAAAACGAGGCTATCAAAGCGTCGTTTTGGTGGATCGTCTGTTTCAGATCGGCGGTCAGAAGCCCACCTCTGGGGAGCCGTAAGCGCGACCGTCGAGCGCTTCTCCTCCACGCCGATCGTCCAGGAGCCGGACGAAGCGACCTGACGGTCGAGCCTTCGACGCGGGCGGCGTCCTCCACGCCGATCCGGCGGAGGGTGCGATGGCGCGGGTGCCAGACTCCCCGTAGTGGGTTGGTGAGGACGTGGTTGAAAGATTTAATGGGTTATTAGCTTCTAACAGCTGTTTGTTTCTAACAGCAAACATTGTTACTAGTAGTGAGGCCCTTGCTCCTAGTAGCGATGCACTTGTTCCTAGTAGCGAACATTGTTGGGTTGAGGGTTTGGAAGTTTGAAGTCCGGATCAGTTGGGGTGTTTGGAAGGTCTGGGTTTCTGGCACAGCAGCTGCAGTAGCTGCAGTACAACACGTCGACCGTTTGGTCACCGGTCGACCGTCCTTTTTTGGGGGGTATTCGAGGGGGGGGGGCGGTCCCTTCGACAGGTTAAGTGACCTTATAGGACCCTATTGGATTACCTGCCTATAGGGTCCTTCAACCTCTGTTGGAGAGGCTAGACATGGCTAGACTTCTTGGGGGATTCTGACTGGCGCAAGGGCCGGCCCTGTACCACAGACAGGAGACACGAAACTCCGAGAAGATCTGTATGTTGGTTTGAATACCGACTTGACTTGACCAACACTTTTGATGATAGTTATAGGATCAGTACTACAGGGATCATTCTTTACCGAACCACCATTGTTTTACTCAGGAATGTACACCGCAAAACTAGGCCAACCATTTTTTGATTTGCCCAAGTGAAGGCTATGGAAGGCTACGTTCTACACGCAGTACCCTCTCAGCAATGTTCCCCGGAAAAAACATCCACTCCTCGGGGGTTCTGGAAGGTCTCTTGATGAATTGGTTCATGCTCTGACCAGTTCGGCGACGCCGCCCAGCACCCCAAACTTGGGCCCCAAACCTGCCTGGAGTGCTACACCTGCGACGTTGAAGTCTGCTACCAGCCCACCATTTCGGAGACCTCTTGGAGAGTGCTGGTAGGGCCTATATTGAACAAGCTTTTTTATGAGACGTCCCCACTCGACACGCGGGAGAGCCTCTCCGGACGAGGAAGAACTGCCTTGACCGGGTGTCACCCCATAGACTGACCCTGAGGTGATGTCTCGGCAGCAACTGGTGCTTGAGGGGGTCTATCTTGGATATCTGTTTGCTTGGTCGTAAATCAATCCACGAAATCGTTCCATCATGTCCACAGACATATTTCGCTATTAAATCGGAAGTTTCAATGGTTTTCATGGGTTGCTTCAGGAAAATCGGTACATTAAAAGCCATGATTCACCTGCTGGGTCGTGCTTTGCTACTCGAAAGAGCAAGGGCTTTGATGTCTGTTCACGATAATGCTGGCGGCCAAACCTGCAGAAAGAAAAAAGATACCTTGGAAGAGCAGTGCCTGGGAACATAGCTCTTGGAGCTGAGTGCCTTTCTGTTGATAGCTCTTCTATGAAAACCATCCCATGAA